AGAAATGCGCAAAAAGTAAAAGACAGTTATAGCAAAAGTGAACAAAGGCTCAGGAAGAGCTATTTTGGGAAAACAGGATTACGTTCGAGAAATGGAAGCAATAGGTATGACTTTAGCTTTATTATTAAATGTAGGTAGACCAGTGGAAAGCACAGAGGGTGAGAAAGATACAAAGCGAAAAAATAACCTGCTAAATATTGGATTGTCTGAGGAGAAAACCGTGACACAGCCCTTCCCTCGTGTTGATCGAATTCCTCAGATGCAAAGTTTGCCAAAGACAAAAAAGCAAGGGCGTTCATTTACGCAAAATAATCACAATGATGGATGCACCATGTCATATGTTGGGGGGTTGGTTGACCAAAATTAAAGAAATCTCTGACGTGAAAGCACCTAATTTACACTCGAAGATACCTTTGAGTTTGTCGGCAAAATGCATGATCTAAACGAAGAGAGGAAGAACATGGTTTCCTTTGAGGTTTGTTCGTTGCTAATCAAGGTTCCTTTGAAAAGACAAAATAAGTCATTGTTGTTTATGCGAACGATGTGCGGTTTCCAGCGGATCATCCCAATTCTTAATCGGCCTGTGCGAGATGTGTTACTATTTATAACTCACTGGAGCAATGTATCATCACCGAGATTGCGTAGCCATGACCAATCAGCTCGGAGCAATCCTTGCTGGTAATTCATGGGACACATAAAGAACACCAAGCTTCGCTCTTAGGCATACACTTTACAACTGTATACAAGAAATACCGACGACACATTTGTTGATGTTGATAACGCTGAAGGGGCAATGCATCAACTTGATGCCCTGAGTCGGTGCCATCCTGCGATGAAAATTACCTTGGAAAATAAAACAATTGGCACCATCCATTTCTTCAGTGTATGCAAGAAAAGAAATCCGGATGGAACGATTACTCGATCCGTTTAATGGAAGTCCACTTAGACAGGACATTAACTAAAGTTTAATTGCATCTGTCCGAGCAAATACAAACGATCGCTTGTGCATACTATTTTGCAATAGCTCTTAATATCTGCTCCGTTGGGACCATTAAAATTGCGTATTTGTGGGTCTAGAATACAACACGCGAAAACGGGTACATAACAGCTTAATAACGCGGCACGCAAACGCTGAAGCAAATGCAGAGATTGCCGCAGCCTTCTCTGAAAGAAGGTGTTTATCTGACGACCATCCAAATAAGTCCAAAATGATGGGCGATTTCGATATCATCACCGTCAGTCAATTAATGTATGTTAGTTTGCTGTTGAGCTAGTATTAATGCATCATGTAAGAACTTTGTTCTGCTAATCGGAAATAGACAAGATAAAGTATACTTTTTTGCTGACCCTTTTGTTCAATTCTTTAACCTACTTGCTTTTTCGAGTATTTGGGCGCAGCACAGATTATGCTATTTATAATTATTTTGGGGCAGTTATTTTTCTACTTTTCAGAGGGACTTATTTGTCTGCTATATCTTTTTCCGGAATATATCATACTCTCTGACTTTCCGAATTCCACGTTAGACACCGGTGCGCATTAGGTCAAAATACTGCTTGATTGCTTCAATTTGCGATGACATTTACTATCTGTAGTCTGATGCGGATTTTAATTAAGCGGACAGGATTTCCTACTTTCCAATCCTTACCTTGTTGAGAAGTTATCCATTAGCTTCAGTTTAATGATACTAATTTTGCTTCGTTTGACAATGTTTTTTTATTTAAGGGATCAGCTTTTTGTTTTCCAAATGCGGCGGAGAAGACAAGAAATATTTTGCTGAAATACTTATTCTATTCTATTTTAACAACTGTTTAATTTTATTGCAGAAATCCTTTTGCAAATTAAATTAGCTTTATTTAGTAAAATAATTATCTGCCGATTTTATATGCTGCATGTTTCTTCCAAAATTACATTTGGAATCTCGGTGATGATAAAACGCTTTCTTCCGATAATTTTCCTTTAGCAGGGTAACTCCTATATTTCTCCGTTTAACTTTCGGAAACTTCTGAGGAGTATATTTTTTCTCGATTTAAAATTCTTTTTTAATGGCAGCGTGTTTTTGACGCTGCATTATGTCTTCCCGAAATATTGCCTTGATCCATTAGAATTACCTATACATGATTTGTTTTTTTCGCAGACTGCGGAATTATCCTCTTATTTGACGGATTTTAAATAGAAATTAATTATTAAAACTGAGCTTGTCTTTTGGAAGTTCGCAGTCGTCTGTAATTTCTTCACATAAGCAAATGATATGTTTTCTTACACATTTATTTACAACTTTTATGAATAAGGGAACGGAAGATATGTTCATTGCTTTCAGCTGATGCATTTAATTGATACTCAGATTATTCCCTCCTTTCATTGAGCAACAATTAATACTTAGATTATCAATTTAAAGTATTCTATGCCATCAGTGAACTTGGCTCTATCCCACGTGTCTATCATTTACATTGTTTCCGGTTTGTCCCGGAAACCAATCGAGAACTGAAATGTTCGTCTATATTTGCCAATCCAGAATGAAATTCTGGTCCATGTTGCTAAATTGGAGGCGCATTTCTACTACAGACAAATTGCTAGTGTTTTTCATTATTATGATGCATGTGCTGACAGTTCTTATGCTATTGCCGTATTTCCAGTTGAGCCTTAAATCAGCAAATGCAAGAATAATTTTACTTCGCTAAATCTCATAGGGTGGATAAAATTATGAAATGAATCTTGGAGAATAAAGCTCGTAGAGACTTGTGTAACTTGGATAAAAGACTATAGGTAAAGCGGCGAACTACATAAACATCCTAAATGAAAACCTAGTCAATGGTTTTCTTATTCGCATTACGGTATGAGGAAGCACACTAGCTCACGTCTGGTCATATGGTGAACTTGAAGGCTAAGATGAAAAGGTAGAGTTATTAGCCAAGGTTATTTCAGAGCCTTTAACATTGTGCGCTGTTTGCCCAGCCCCAGTATTAGGACCTTAGTTGCATTGGCTTTATTATTTGTCAAATGATGTTCCTCGAGTTAATTTTGGTAGCTTTTAAGGTTCATATCATATATTTAAACGACTGGTTCATCTGAAGTTGTTGTCCAGTGTCAAATAATTGATGTGCAACAGAAATGTTTATGGCTATTACTGTGCCATTTTGTAATCACGAAGGAGAAAGTTCAGTCATTCTTTTGGACAAATATCCTGCCATATGTTCCAGATACGCAGCAACAAAGGTGAAGGGGAATGGCATAAGACAAAATATTCCGACGGAACGGGGATTTCATCTTCAGCGATGAAGTATCAACGGTATTGTTACGGCAAGCAGTTTTAGTTTGGCGGCGATAAATGTCTTGGCCGCTTCCGTCGAGTGATTTATATTAAACATTTCAAAACAACCTTTCTTTAAGAGAAACTGAGAGGAATGCACTTCGTTTGGGCGATGATACAAAATACTTGACAGCATCAGACTTTTTGATGAAAAGTTTGGATACCCATAAATTGCAGCCTTTTAACCAGAGCTCACTTCCGATTCCCTATGATACATTTTATAAAATGTAATGAACCTTAAAATATTAGTCACCAAGTCCGCATTATCCGTCGTGAAAATATGTTTGCACATAACAAATAACTTTTAAGTTTTAATAGCGCACTTCTGCGATGCTTAAGCTAGCTGACATACCAGAAATCGGATATCGAAATATTTTCCTGACATACATTATTCTTAATGGCAATGTTATTAAAATGCTATAATATTGCTAGTACTTCTCTCCACTGCGTAAATCTGGTAAACTAGACTAGACCCATTAAGCAATGCCAACGCAATACACTACATTAACAAATTTCGATGTGCCTATCATAACACCCCAACTGACAGTGAAACGTCAGTTTTGCCTTACATCATTGCCACATAAATTATCCCATGGCCTAGCGATGTTTGAGTCGCCTGCATAAATTTCAACAAATGAATGCTAAACTGCATCTTATAATTCAAGTGGGCGGTTGTTAATCCTTTGCACATTGCGCTGAATGTACTCGTCTAACCGTTTCGACTGAGCGTGCATATTGAATTTGCATTGTGCTGTGAACTGACAAATGATGCACATTATTCGGCAAGCAAACTTATGGGTGAATGAGTTTCCGAGCAAAATATATTCAAGCATTCTGTGTCATTTTTCATTCGCTCAGAATGCGAACAAACCAACAAAATAAGTCGCAAACAGACAGCGCAATTTAATGCTATGCTTTATGTTTTTATCACAAGTCACCTAGTTCTTAGCAATCAGAAAAATCTACGTGGGAATTAGGCAAATACATCTCCATAATGGATAATAAACGCCTTCTTAAAAACTGGTAGATAAATAGATAACGCGAAAAATACCATGTTATGCTCAATACCATTTAATTATAGCAGTTTGCAAACAATACATGCAAATTCAATTTCCCATTAGGATATACGTTCCTGATAATCGCACGTGACAAAAGTCCAAAATGAATCGATCATTCTTATCCCACTTTTCATTACTACATTAGACGTTGTTGCAAAACAATATGCCAAATATTAATAACAGGCTTTTTGTCGACTAATTCTATACCGTTTGGTCAAAACATTTTCTAAATACTCGCCCTATTATCAACTGAACGATACTCTTATGCTAACAGTTACTTTTCCAAAATACGTACATAAGAAAGACAAGAAAATATTATCTCTATCATGTAGCCGGGGGAGATAGGCACTTAACATCCAGCGAAATAAAATTGAATAACTCTATGACATGGCAAATCGTTCGCAGCAAATTTCCGGTTGATATAATTGATCTTTACAGAGAACAGACTCTTTTAATATAATCTACTTATTAATTTTTTTATGATTTCATAATTGATAAATGAGTAGTTTCGGTAAGTGCTATGTTTCTATGTTTGTTACTCTTTTAAAAAATTATCGAACCCTGTTGAATTTAACTAGTTGTACAGTGAACTTTATTAGACTGATATTGTTTTCTTATCATTTTATTACTCTAGGTTAAGAAAGACAGGATAGCATCGTCAACCGAAGTAAATTTCTACAGTGACGGTGAACGCCATGGACAATCAGCAAGAAATGAGGACCTCGACCCATCATTTATAGGTCAGCAATGGTTCACTTTCCTTTATGCCATGTATTAAAACCATTGCACTAATATTTAACAGTCGCTTGTATTGTAAATGCGAATTCGGTTATGCACAAAATGATATTAACTGCACACATAGCGTCGTAGATACAATTTGCTGAAATTTTACAAGCATATGAGATCTTATAATAAAGCAATGCCTTTAGTAATTTTGACACATAACGCAATACTGCATTTGGACGAAACTGGATACCGCTTCAATCAGTTTCATCCTACAATTGATGTTATTTGATAGCGGGTGCTAAAGTTACTACTAACAAATCCAAGCTTTTAGAGTGGAAGAAGCGCACGGATAAGTTTTGTAAACCTAACATTTATAAAATCAACCTAAAAATGCGCGAACTGAACGTCCAGAGTAGTGTTGTTATATTATAAATATTAATAACTGCTAAATTTGCCAGCTTTTCGGCACATTAAGGACCTTGACAAGTCAAATAGCAATTACAAGGAACATTAATCTTGAAAACGGTGATCCAATCATTAAATAGTTTCCAACAGTCGGCTTGAAACTACCTAGCTAGAGAATGCATTTCATTGTATGTAAGTAGATTATCGTACAATCAATTGCTGCGTTTTAATTTTAGATAGAAAATAAAAGAATTTAAATCTTGATACGAAGCTCTGGTATAACTTCTGACCATCATTATACTAACAGAGTGAAAACATGAATCACTAGGTGCACAAGCAAAAACTAATAGTCACGATTAGACATATGTCCTTAACGTTAGTAAAATTTGAAAAAGTTTTATAGCATCGATTATGTCCTAGAAGTATTAAGCATTCTTTTAAATTCTCCTCATATATATGTGCTGCCGTTTTTCATTAGAAAAGCGTAGAACAAAATTTGTTGCACGAAATAATGCAAAAATTATGAGTTTTGGTTTCCCAATTTATTTGCATTTAACTAAGATTTCAGGAGCCAAATCGTTCTCTTTTTACATAATTTTAATAATTGTGGCTTATTTCACAATCCAACTATGTTGACGTAACTCACAAAAAATGAATATGTTCATAGAAATCGTAAAATTATTTTGCAACCCTGCAAAACTTCAGATACATTTACAATCACGATTGATAACGAAATACTTATGGAGATTTTGCATTAAAAGGTAGCCATTTTTGAGCAGTTTGCGATAATCCGGATTGCTGAACATTAATTAAACTAATGATAACATCGCAGAAGTCGTTTGTCTAACTTCATAAATATACAAAAATAATGGCAAATGCAATGTATATGGTAACGTTTGTAGGCCGATCGGCATACTAACGGATTACGTGTAAACTGATCTCGGCTTTGTATTTGAACTATACGGTTATCCAGCACACCAGTAATATTATAAACTGGATGCAGTGCGAGCCACATTTCGGATATTACAGAACTATCTATAGCAACCGTGCAAACAAAACGACGCACTAATTAATAATTGTGAGGAATTATCCTAAGTAAATTCAAACAGCCAACTTACGATGGATGCGAAATAAAGGAAAGGAAACTTAGAGCGCAACGTTTAATTAGGACTAGACACTATAAATTGTATGCAAGGCTGAACATTCTTGGGAATACCCTAAAAATATATTATAATTGCAATAGTCAGCCTCTATATACAAGGAGGTGTAAGTCAGTTATGAACTTCGTACTTCAGTAATAATTAGTCTACTTCAATTTTCCTTATTGTAGTTTTCCGCAAATCTATTTCGATTAAGTTTGAATGTTATGGTGACGGACGAACTTATTGTTGGCAGATTATTCCGTACCGCGCTTTACAACTAAATTTAAGCTTGGAAACTTTGGCTTAAGTTTTCTGATGTGTTGCAGTATATGTGCGCGCGTTGAGACGCGCACTACTTGTAGACGAAGTTTGCCAACTTATGCTAGGGGGCCAAAGACGCAGCATTAGCCATAGTAATATTGCATGATGACAAATAATTAATACTTATTGTGTTATAAAATAAGGTTTCCTTACGAGAACACAGGAATCTTCGATGTGTTTTTTTGTCATTACATTTGCGCGGCAAAAAGAAATAGGTTTGCCAAACTTGAAACAACTATTTTTCCTTTTTCATCCTATAAAGCATGCATCTGGAATACCGATGCTGTTGTTTGACGTAGCAAGAATATTCTCGCAATTGACACCATAGAATGCTGTGAAGTATATGTCAGACTTATTAAATAGTATAGTGTGATCGATTTGCTTAACCACATGTGATTATTCTTTGTGTATTAGGGCGCATTTGGTTCCTTGTGATATAACTTTGTGATTGCAGAATGTGGTACTTAAATATAAGTTGGGAAATAAAGCAAAATCCTCCTCTCCGTCCTCATCAATGATTATCCAAACATTTATGTGAATTTGAATTACCGCAACCTGTGGATATATTAAATGATATACAAAAACACCAAAACTGTTGCCACATATCTAATCAGTTGAGCTTACTTTCAGAGATTTCTGGACAAACGCTGGATAGAAATTTACAAGAATATCAAGGAAAGCCGCGCGATTTTTCAGTGAAACCAATAGGAAATGTTTGCCAACATCACCTACGTTACATGCCAGGTTTCTGTGAGAATGATCGTGAACTTCATCAAGAAAGTTGTGCATTATATTCGTCTGTTCACTCTAAGGATAACAGTCAAAAGCCTACAATGCCGTCACGGGATAACGAATTGGAATGCATACAAATAGCAAAAAAGATGGTGGACCATGATATGGAATCACACGTTATGCACAGCATAAGCACATTGAGCCGAAGTCCAAAGCAATTGTTTTCACGAAGTGTGACATTTGGAAACGCAGTTAATTGACTGCACCATAACAGCTGAGGCAATTTACATTGTAGGTGCACAAATGTTTATGATTCTGAAAGCTGTGGGACATTTGCAACGACAACTGTAAAACATGTTTATGATAAAAGATAATAGCGAATAGTGTTGTTTATTCGCAACCTTTGGATTCGCCCATCAACTTATACGCTTGTGTCATTATATTATTACACACAAATATCATCATTAATTAAATTGTTTTTGGAAGTGTTACACCAATTCCAGTGTAAGATCAGTGCATTAGCTCGGCCTAAAATAAGTAAAGAAACTTAGTTAACATAGATAAAATAGCTGCGTGAAATATCTGTATGAGTTTGTTAAAAGTGCAACCGTATATGTACCTTTGAATTTGCAAACGTTGAAGAAAAAAGGGTGATCGATTATATTTAGAACAAAATCACGAATTGAAATAAAATCTTTAAAATCGTAGGCAATACTTATGTTAGCAGGGCATTGATCAGTTTATTGTTAATATGCTTGATTACCAACGAAGCAAAAAAATAATATGTTCTGTTTTTGAGCATGCTATAATCTGTGATATTTAAGGTGGATAGTTCTGAATTTAGCATCCGTTTATATGTTCCAAGGTGTTTAATATGCAACGATGTTACTGCTCGAATACGATACGTTTTCGCTTAGTAGACAGCAACTCTCGTACTTGTTGTTCCATGAGTAAAATCATTGTGAAATGCCTGTTTACAGTACATGAAGGTTAATAATATGGTATATCCTCACACACACCGTACAGACGGTCTCACTTCCCAAAATATCTGTTTGTGTTCGCAATTACTCTCAGAGCCTTCGCGAACCCTTTTTGCCTGGAACATAATAGTTTTACTTATCACAGCACATGCTGTAAAGCTAGCAAGTCAATTTGATGACCCGTGATATTATATCATACTGCATACTGTGTCCACAGCATCAGAGTTTTGCAATTTGATTGATAACGTTTCATCCCTCCAAAAATCGTTTGACCTGAATTTTCTACATGGACGCTGTTGTCACACATGCTTAGCATATAATTTTCGGGAATTTATTCCAAAATATTGGGAAAGTTTTAGGTCTCACCTAAGTCCAAGCTCAATGCCAATTTATGTTTCAGCGTGAACGCTATCATTTAATGTGCAGATAGTGCGAATAAAAAAATTGACGCCACAAAGCATCCATAATTACCAATCAATCAAAACTATGCATGATGTATAACAAGGCGAAAATGAGTTAAATACAATAATTGGTTTATTTGTGGGTCAGCTTACATAATCATTGATGATGTGATTTAAATATTAGTGTTTTGTAGTGATTGGCATCGTTTTGATCTATCTGAACATTTTCCAGTGAAATATTACCTACATAATGTTCAGCATACCTTTGTTGTTCACATTTTCGTATAATATCTTGCCCTTTTTCTGATGGTGCAGTAAGCAGCATCTTTTGGCGGCGCTTAGTTATATCGCAATTTGCATAGTTTCTGTTACAAATGCTAATAACTTAGCATATGCATGCAACAGTAAAATTTGCGCTGCTATTTGGCTTTTACTAGCGCCGGATAAACCCTAATGCCATGGCGAATCATGTAAGGAAAACCACCATATTTTAACCCTGCGTTTAGCAGAACTTAGTCGTTTGCTATCTGGCTAATTCTTATAGTTAGGGTAGCTTGTTTTGCCTCTGTTCTAATCCGCTTGGGCTGGCTAAAAAGCCTACATTTCAGCAAGAGCATTTGTGATTTGCTGCTGAAGTTTGCTGCACTACAACTCTATAAGCCCGTTATATTTACATGTCATCAAGCCTATTCAAATTACAAGCGGGTTAATTATGTAAATTGTAAGAAATCAGAGTGCGTCTGGTGTGCGAAGCTTTTCTTTTACTTCTACTATAGTTTAATTTAACAACTAACAATAAAAACTGACTACGCTACGTTCGTACAGATACTACAGTAATTTATTTAAATGTAATTAGTGTTAATGAACGCTAGATACACAGAGCTATTTTAGTTGTTGCATTAATTTACACCGTGCGAGTGCACAGCATCAGGCAAATCATTTTAAATGGCTTTTTCGCAAAAATATGAATATTGAATTTGATATCGATTTTAATAACCCTTTCTTGATTAAAGCACATTGATTTCAAATAAATGTTCCAAATTATTTAAACTAAAGCCTACTAGTCAGTCTGCTTTTATTTAAAAGAAGTATTAAAAAAGAAGTTAAGCTGTAGATTTTAGTTTTCAACGCATTTAAATGTGTTTAGTTTAGGTAAATAAAACAAAGATTACTTACACAATTTGAATTACAAGGTTTAGAAAAGCGAGCTTTTAAAATATATTTGCTTAATTGTTTTAATTAGAGTAACCTTCTATTTATTAAGTTTCAATGAATGCGTAGTTTGCTACTTTAAAAACTTACACATTTGTTGATTTTAATAAAAGTATTATAAAAGTGGCATCATAATATAAGCAACCTAAACTCTACAACATCGTACACCTGGTGTCACAGTTTTTCTTAATCCTGAGCTACATGTCGCGTAAGCAGAGATGATTTCTAATGAAATATGCTTGTTCTCAGCAACATAATCAAGAAAGGACCCTAAGCATTACATCTCGCTCTTCGGGGTGAAAGCAACTAACGGATGTTTGATGAAGAGTTAGACTTTTCAATGGAATCCATATTCCTCCTCTTTCTTTTACGCTGCAAAACATTTCTTAAATACCGAATGAAAGATTGTTTGTTGAATTTGTGCGCGTTAAAGCAAATGTACTATGAATACATTATGGCCTGATAAATACAGAGTAACATTATTTAGCCGTTTATACCGGTGCGTATGAGGTTAAACAATGAACCGTGGCCAGTTTAAAAAGCCTAACCATTTATGAAATACAGCAGCAGGGCATCTCCCGGGCTCATTGCAATACACTAAACTGTATTTTTTTATCGTATTTTTACAAACTGCTTTTGAAACTTTACCGGGAAATACAGATAAATCCGCGATACTATACAAGCAGGGCACAGGCAGGAAAACGTGTGTAGGACTTTGACTCAACACCAAGTAAACCTTGACATTGTGGCCTTTACCAAGGTTTAAATCTAAAATATACTGTTTCTACTGTCAGCTGTCTAGTAGTAATTATACAGATTTTATAAATTCATATTTATATGTATAGCTTGTTTCATAAACAAAGCTAATGAAACATCAGTTTCCAAATAATGTGCACATGCCAAAATACGTTCAATGATTATTTCCAACGCAATCATGGATAGATGGGAAAAATCTTTATGTAGACTTCGGGAATCTTTGAATGTTGGAATCTTTTTGACATGCGGTACATATATTTTCTTAATTGCGTTCGTCAAACTGCCGTGGTATGGCAGTTAGGATTAAGTGTTTGCCGAATATATCGAAATAAGCCTTAGTTAGCGGAAATTTACGACAAAAGCATTTATTGCTCTGCTGTACATCGAATTGAATGTGAGGTGTGTCTGTGTTCATTTTTACCCTTTACAAATTAGATCCTATCTTCATATAACGCAATAAGCGCTGACAAATACAATGAGAAATAGATGTGTGTAACAAAATTGTAGCTTGGGAAAGGAAATATTAATTTTCCAAACTAAATTAATACTTAATTCCATAGCGATAAAATAAGGTTTACCTTCTACATCCGTGTTGTAACTGATGCGTGTGGAATATGTAATCCATCTCCAAAGAAACCCACGCTCAAAACTGTCTGTGGTGCTGGTTGGATGAGCAACATTGGAAAATTATTGTCTGAAAAACATTTGATATATCATAGTATTCAGCACAATGGAAACCAAAAGAACACAGGTATTTAATTAAGCTTATCTACCGGAGTTTTGTGTAATACATATTGTAACTTCAATGCATTTCGTTATTTGTTCATTACATATAAAATATATAGCACGACGGCCGAAAAGCACCAGTAACGTTCCTGCAACCATTCACCTAAACAAAATAAATGATACATTATTTCGCCACAAGCTGCGCATGAATTTCAATACACAACTGACCAGCTACAGGTGATGTGCTGCCATGACAATGACGTATTTGATTTCATCTGCGTGAACTCAAAGAATTCTTAAATCATTCACCAAACTGCTTTTGTATCTCTTCGGACAGATTGTCCCAAGGCTAACAGACAGGTCATTTAATCGAATCATAGTGAGAGTGTACCCCTTGCTCAAAAAATTCCACGAGCTCTCACAAGCCAGAACGGTCCTATAAATGTTACTTTAGTATATCTATAAAAAGCAGTGCGTCCGTCAATCAAGTTTCGGAGGTTTTATTAAAAAACTGGTCTGGCTTGAAGCAGACCAGAAATTGCAGTGGAATCTGTAGATTTAAACATGATTACATGAATAATAAAAGATCGGTTTAAAAGCATGTGTTTTTTGGATTGGCGATATTAAATAATAATTTAAATTTAATTCCATTGTCACTTTCCACATCATTCAGATTCCCAAAATTTGGTAACCGTAATTTAATTGCGCTTTCATAATTTATATATACACTGAGCACCTATGAAATAAGATGTTTATAAGCTTTGACCCGATTATTTTGTAGACGCAACAGACACATACGTATTAATCAAACATTTTTGCTTCTTAATTCTCGGCCGACACATCACTTTTAGGGGTGTCGCGATAACAAAACGGCGCTACATAAGGTTTCGTTTCTGGTATATAGACAGACAATATTTTCTTTCAGTATCAATGTAGTGCCTTAAGCTTTAAGCTTAGGACCATACACTGGAAATGCTACGCTCGTGTATTTAGAAACATATGTCTTTGAAGAATCTTTTCGTCATTGGAGAGTTATATGTATTTACATTTTATTATATCCATATATACAACAGATATGTTTATCATATCACTCCAGGTTCAGATAGGGACAAGTTTTGCCGTTCTGATGAGAACAGGAATACCTTTGATAAAATGAAAATTACGAATCTCAATCCCAGAAACTCGGAGGATTCAGACAAGCACTAAAACTGGGCTGCTAGCGCCAACGTTGGCTTAAGCAGTCTTCGTGGGATTTCTTTGCTTCTGTGATATAAAAGAGCAACTATTTTGGAACTCATAAAGAATACCTAGTAA